GCGGATATTTTACACTAACAGGAAATAACAATATGTCGTCAGATGGTCGTCTGGTGCACATATAATGATTACTGGTGCAACGTGTGTGTTACATCCATATGACATTGCTTTGACAACGATCTCTCCTGGGGTGCGCTCCCAATTAGATCATCATAATGGTATTGTCTTATATGACCCGTTTCTCTGTGGTCGTGGGGGGTCACCTTTTAAAGACGCATTCCCAGATTCCACAGGGCAAGTGTTGATAAATTGGGTATACCCGAAGAAACGGCACAGTTATATAAGCGATAGGAATCAAACTGTTTTTGTAAATAACGCTTACTCGTCGACCCTACCGCTTAATTCTGGAGTACCCAGGGCTCTGTATTGGGTCCATTCTTATTTCTTGTGTACATAAACGATATCCAAGATTCTTTGGAAAATACTGCCAGATTATTTGCTGATGACACCGCAATTGGTTGCACCCAATCTCGTGTATATGAAATAGAAACTTCATTAAACGCTGACTTATTCAAACTAAACTCGTGGTCCAAGGATTAGCTGATAAAATTTAATCCTTCTAAAACAAAAGTATTGCATTTCCGCAAAACTTTCGAGAACGCCACAACTTTATATTTTGGTAATGAATCATTAGATGCTGTAGTTAACCACAAACACCTTGGCGTTACTCTATCAAACGACTGTAAATAGTCGGAATATGTCGATATTATTTGTAAAGCTGCCTCTCAACGTTTAAATATATTAAGAAAATGTAAATATACTTTTAGGCGAAAAACATTAGAAATTATTTACAAATCTTTCATAAGATCCGTACTTGAATACGCTTGTGAATCGTTGGATTGTTGTAATGTATCTGATCGCGATAAACTTGAAATAATTTAACTCTAGGCAGTTAGAATTATTACATGACTCCCGAAATAGACATGTAAATAGGCTTTGTATTATGAAACTGGCTTAGTTAATTTATCAAACAAAACGTCGCAGGATAAGAAGACTCTTTTTCACAAAATTATTTATCACAATTATCCACACTGTTTTACAGATAAATTAACAGAGCTTAATTATAACCTACGTAACAATGCTAATATCCACGTTCCGTTTTGTAAATCCTCATTATATCAAAAGTCATTTATCCTCCAAACTGTAAACGACTGGAACAACTTACACGAATCTATTAAAACAATTCCTGATATTAACCACTTTAAATCCAAATTAAATAGTACCAACAATGGCCATGTAACAGAAAAGAAAATATTATGCATACTAGAATACGTCACCAGTGTAGTTCGCTAAATTCAGATCTCCATAAAATTAAATTGATTAATAGCCCTCAGTGTAATTGTTTATATCCAAATGAAAACGCAAACCATTTACTTTTACCGTGTAACCAATTTAATAGTGAAAGAACAAAATTATTTTAATCCTTGACCCTCTCCCCTACGATTAATGTGCACACCCTATTGTTGGGCGACACCAATTTATCAAACCATCAAAACAACTAATTGTTCGAAAAAGTGTGTTCATATATAAAAGCAATTAAACGTTTTAAATGTTGTTTGTAAGCTGTGTTAATTTGCACCTTGTTCTTTGCTGTTTGTTTATTTGTCTGTTATTTATTATGTATATTAGATCTATATTTGTTACATCTCACAATTCTCCAAGTAAACTGCACTATTATATTTATACAATTTCTGAATATGGAAAGGACGTTTCTAAGTTTTAATAACTTTTGTCCAATCCAATTGTATAAATTTGTTGATGCAGTAAAATATGTTTAAACTGAACAGCACAAAGAATTTTTGTGAACGTTTAAGATCAAATTCTGTTGTGCGAAATATGGTAGACGAGTGCACCCTAACGTGGTAAGTGCCTTCTGCCTTTCTACAATTAACTTAAAGTAGAAACGTAACACATGCGCATCAGCTGTCATAAGCCACGTTAATTTATATACAAACATGCATATCTGTATTTTGTACAAGTGTGTGAACAGTCCTATCTAGAATTTCAAATGCGTTTCAATATTTTGAGTGCTCTTATTTTTGTTAGATCAGCGTTTTATTTATATCTGCATTATCAATATGTATTCTACTACCCCTTCCGTTGTCAAAAATAGAAACGCCTTTGATAGTTGTGTGTGTGTGTGTGGGTGTCAGTAATTAATTTTAGAAACAGGAATATATTATCCATCTGTTCAGGAAATGACGTAGGAATTTAATTCACAATGTTTTTTATGCCTAAAAAAGAATCCACCAAGTTCACTTAGGCTTTAGGGTATACATTTGGCTATATTACTGGAACATCGCGGGTTTAAAATGTATAAGCGTAATATTCGCGATTGGCGTTCAACCACTAAATCGTGCCTGTATTGGCGACACGAAAAGACGCTTGAAGAATAGTGTTATGATGATGAAGTCTCGATTATCTATTTTTAATTAGATTATTAACTTGCGATCGTGTTTAAATCCGTTGAAAATCTCAACCATCCGATCGATAGTGTAGAGAGTTTATTATGGCCTTGGCATGTGAATAAATGTCTAATTAATGAATTATATAACATTTGTGGGGGTTGGATGACCGAATGGTTAGCACGTGCGCGCTGTATCATAAGGTCTGCCATTGAGTCAACTGGCGTGGTTTAGATTCCCCGGTTGTACGTGGCAAGGAGTAGGATCGCCTGTCCAACCTCGAGGGTTTTCTCCGGGTCCTCCGGTTTCCTTCCACTGATAAAGACCCCTACGCGCAAGCGAATTGTTGAAATAAAATAGAACCATGTGTCAAGTGGACGTTCAACCCCATCTCTCTCTCTCTCTCTCTCTCTCTCTCTCTGTCTCTCTCTCTCGTGTCTCTCGCTTTATATAACATTTGAGACTAAACGAAAGATCTGCAATAGGCAGATTTAGCCCTTACATACTGCATCTTTAAGGAACATTCAATAATATGGCTCAAATTTTGGAATGTGTATTTATCTAAATAAAAATAGTCGTTTGAAAGTATCTATTAACGCATTAATTTGAACAGTTATAACCGCTCATATCCAGGCGTTAACGTCCCGAAATGACCAAGTATGTGTCGAGTGGACGTTAAACCCCACATCTCTCTCTCTCTCTCTCTCTATCTATCTATCTCGTCTCTCTCGCTTTATATAACATTTTAGACTGAACGAAAGATCTGCCATAGGCAGATTTAGCTCTTACATACTGCATCTTTAAGGAACATTCAATAATATGGCTCAAATTTTGGAATGTGTATTTATCTAAATAAAAATAGTCGTTTGAAAGTATCTATTAACCGCTCATATCCAGGCGTTAACGTGTTGGCTATTTGCATTCACTCAGCGCTATAAATGACTGCTTGCTACACAACATTAATGTTATAATCTGCCTTTGGATTGTCCGTTCGTACCTCGAGGCTTAACGTCCGCTTCCACCTTGGGGGATATCGCAGACAAGTGGTCCTGTGAAACTTGCAAGGGGAGTCAAATGATAGGCTAGTCACACATAGGTAGGAGACGCGAGGTCGGTTAGGAGGCCTATCTGATTCGGTTTCCTTTGGTAAAGACACAATGCCTTTTGAAGGGTAGCGTCCAAGGTAAGTTTCATCCAAAGGAATTGCCCTCAGTAATAGGGTATTTCATAAGAGACCGTAGGAATGGTGGTAGGCGTGCTCAGCCTGGCCCGCCATCAAGGATATGATCTCGCCGAGGCTGGATTGGTATGGAGGGTAGAACCGGCTGGCAGATGGGCCTAAGGGCCTACCGCCTGTCTGACTTTGGTCCTGTCAATTAGAAAGTAAACATTTGACGGGCCAGGCGTTGTCGTGCCATCCATTGGGTGTTGAGGTAAACCTTAATTCGTCACAGACTAGAACAGATACCAGTATCACACACGAAATCTCGTGTCTGTCACCCTAGGATAGAGTAGGTTGGGAACTTTGAGGGCCATGTTAGAGTCACTCACTTTAAATTTATCAGTGAGAGATTTTCTTTTAGCTGAGAGGCAACCACAGTCTACTAAGATAAGTGTTGAAGATACTTCCGCGTCGCAGCTACACCGTACATGCTTGAAATTCTAAGCGTCTATTTCACCCCGGCTTTGTTACTAACCAGCAACTATTTCTGCGGGGATGGTTTACAATTAACTTAGCATTTAAGGATTCATCGGATCTAAATCTGCATGTGTCGGGTGCATCTGATGCGGAGCACGACCATACTTTTAAACTCGTTAATGCTATAAAGGAGGGGGTTGGATGGCTAAATGGTTAGCGTGCGCGCGCTGTATCATAAAGTCTGTCATTGAGTCAAGTGGCGTGGTTTCGATTCCCCGGTTGTACGTGACAAGGAGTAGGGTCGCCTGTCCAACCTCGTGGGTTTTCTCCGGGTCCTCCGGTTTCCTTCCACTGCTAAAGACCCCTACGCGCAAGCGAATTAATAAAATTAAACCATATGTTAGTCCCGAAATGACCTAGTTTGTGTCGAGTGGACGTTAAACCCCCATTTCTCTCTCTCTCGCTTTAAAGGAGTTCGACACTTGGCACTGTCACGTTTGACACTTTTGTTCAGGAACTCTCAGTAGGCGTGCCAATGATGGGCTTGAGTTTGCCTAATTATGTCACTCGCCGCATTTTTTGCCTTTGGAACTTCGGTGTCATTTTTATACGCACACATCCGTCAACAACTGGCTTGAGTTTTTGGCGCACTTTAACCTATCGATTTTCAGTGTTCCATAGGTTTTCGTTCCAGAGTTATGCCCCCTTTGCCAAAGACCGTGTGAACGAGATAGAGGCTACATTTTTTCAATCATATATGCAGTATTTAAATCAGTAAAACAAAGAAACCGATTGACTGTCAGCAATTTCCGTTAATTACTTCTACAGTTATGACCCTTGTTTCACTTTGTTGAACCACGTGTGTTTCGTTGCTTGGCAACCTATTTATACACGTTGTGATAGATATATAACTTAGCAGGCCGGATTACATTTTCATATTCTTCTTACATTTTCAGAAGGGTGCTTGGAGTAAATGGGGCAAATGGACAGATTGTTCAGTACGATGTGGTACCGGAATATCAAAAAGAGAAAGAATATGCGAGAATCCATACAGACCATCCATGGCGTCGTAAGTACACAAGTCCCTTTTCCTACCCATTGGTCCACACCTATTCGGAGAATCATGGAAATACTCACATCTTAGTTCAAGATATTCGTCCCATCAACCCCATGCCTTATTATTAATGCAAACATATCGGAAAATCTGGACTTATATTCTTAATAACAGTATATATTCTAACATTAATTCGAACATTACTATGCATATCTAATTAACCTACTGCTATCTGGTTAGTTAATATCAATTGAAGTATGGAAGTATATATCCTGAGTTCCGACATTAATGTCAGCTGTGCATATTTAATTACTTTAATCTGATTGGTAAATGTGGTGTATGTCGCATCAGGGCCGGCGGAAGCAATTCTTGATTAAGGGGTGGGGGGCTACCATCCTAGGTCGTTAGAAGAGAGTACAGGGGCCGCCTAGGCCCCGGAAGCTCTCCGGGGTCTAGATAGTCGGAAACGCCTTCTGAACGATTTCTGGCTAATAAAATAACTCAGCAATGAAGTGAAATTTTATTTCTTTTCTAACTCTTTAACCATGAGCTATGGTGACTTAATCCCTGCGATACTGAACTTGACAAACATATGCGTAATAATACCAAGGTTGCGAACACTCTAGAGGTCACGGTTTTTATCGGATTTTTGATGAAACTTACAATGTATCTTTATTGCCAAAAGATCTCGGTTCCTTTCGATATTGGCGCATATGGGACCGTCACTTCCTGGATTGTGGCCCCTGATTGTGCGAACAATCACATTTTAGTTTGTTGACCTTGTAGAAGTAACAGTTTTCATTTCATTGAAAAAGCCGTTCAATTATATCAGGACACAATTTTTATCTGATCTATCTCCCAAAGGTATCAACTCCGATTATACGAAAATCAGGTTTTTAGCTTATGGACACTCCAGGGGTCACAATTTTCATCAAATTTTGATGAAACTTGAAATGTATGTTTGGCTCCTTTCCATATTCGTACATATCGGATTGTAACGTCCTGGATTATAGCCCCTGATTATGGGGAAAATCGCGTTTTTAGCTTGTGGTTCCTCTAGAGGTTACAATTTTATATCCAATTTAAAAGGCATTCGAATATATCACGTTACACCATAATTACGGTTGAGTTCGTATTTCCTGAAAATCGGACCGAACTCCCTTAAAAGCATATAATACGCAGGTTAGATCTAAATTTTAAGGCCACCTGCAGATTTCGCCAAGTTCACGTGATGTAAACAGGGCTAGCGGCAACCCTAACCCAAGACCTAGCCCTTACCCTAACCCTAAGCCACAATCCCCGTGAAAAGTCACGCGTCCTAACCCTTGACAAAATCTGCCGGTGGCCTTAATAATTAGATCTGATCATAATACCCAGGTTGTGGAGTATCCAGAAGTTCGAATTTTGTATCCAATTCTTAAAATATATATTTATATCCCAAAGATCTGGGTTCCTTTCGATATTGGCTCGTATTGGACTGTAACTTTCTGGATTATGACCCCTTGATTGTATGAAATATCACGTTTTTAGCTTATGGGCCCGTCACAAGTTTTATCTTATTTTCAAAACTGTTCAAATATATAACCGTTACACCATAATTATGGTTGAGTCCGAATTTTCTAAACATCTTCCCGTCATATAGCCGCTCCCTGTTACACAAATAGTTCTTGGGGGAATTCAATTTTGGTGCGCATCTGCCCCTCCCTGCTTTTTACGCAAAATGTGAAATATGAATTTCCGTCAAATAGCCGCTCCTCGTTACGCAAATAGTATAATAAAAGCATATAATGTAATACACAGATTGTGGACCATCTAGAGGTCAAAATTTTAATCGATTGAGATGAAACTTAAAACGAGTATCACTAGTTCTTGGGGGAGTTCAATTTTGGTGCGCATCTGCCCCTCTCTGCTTTTTACGCAAAATACAACGGACGTGAGATGGACTTGAAAGATAGACTGTTCAGTTATCTAATCACGACCCGCGCAACCACGAGTCTCTTAACCCGGGGATCAGTATAGAGCATAGCAGGGTTTTGTTCTGAAAGTCTACGTTCTAGAAGTCTCACATCTATGTTAAAATCGGGTCTCTTTTTTTTTAATCGAATAGTTACTTGCATTCAATAACCTGGAGAAAGGAGTACTTGCGCCCAAATTAAAATCAGGTCTCTTTGTTTTTGATGGAATAGTTACTTGCGTTCAATAACCCGGAGAAAGGACTACTTGCGGCCAAATTACCCCCCCCCCCCCCACTCGGCTGGGCCTGAAAGGTAATATTTATAGTGATACATTACAAGGACGTGGATTTGTCATAACTTTTGGGCGCGGTGGGGGGGGGGGAAGGAATCCTGGAACTTGGAACATTTCATTTCCGAATCAAAATAATAATTACGAAGAGTTTATTGTGCCATTGTTATGATGACGGTATGGAAAAAGTTGCACAAAAAAATATTAGTTTTTCACGAAGTTATGTGAATCGTCCAAAGACGTTCATTCAACGAATGAACACTTTAGTAATCTTGATTTGATTGGGTTCTTGTGGGTCTTGATGGTTGCACGGGCGTATGGTGGTCGTGGATGGCTGCGTCGGAATTAGTGAAATTGGTTTTTGGTGATCTGTCCTTGTTGTGTTATTTCTTCTAGTTTACTATTTAGTTGTTTTTATACGCCCACATAGAAATGTGGACGTATATTGCCGTCGCCCCCGTCCGTCCGTCCGTCGTTCCATCGTCCACAATTTCTTGTGAACGCTCTAACGCCAAAAGTTATCATCCAGTTGTTTTAAAATTGATATATGTTGTTTGCATTAGTAGGATGAAGAAGCCTATTTAATTTCAATAATTTCCATTTATAACGTCTAAAGTTATGGCCCTTGTTTCACTTTGTTGAACCTTGTGAACGCTCTAACGCCAAAAGGTATCCTATTTTTCTGAAATTTATATGCATTATTTGAATTAGTGAAACGAAGAAGCCTATTGAATTTCAGCAATTTCTGTTTATTACTATATAGTTTGTTTCACTTTATTGAACCTTGTGAACGCTCTAACATCAAAAGTTATCTGCCGATTTGTATGAAATTTGCATGCGTTATTTAAATTAGCAAAGAGAAGAATCCTATTGAATTGCAGCAATTTCCGTTTATTACTTCTAGAGTTATGACCCTTGTTTCAATAATTTCTAGAGTTATGGCGGTTGTGAACCTTTTGAATGTTTGAATGACAAAAGTGATCATCTGATGTGTATGAAATTTAGATGCATTATTTAAATTAGTAAAACGAAAAAGTCTGTCAAATTTCAACAATTTCTGTAGATTACTTCCAGAGTTGCGACCTTTGTTTCAGTATGTAGAACCTTGTGAACCCTCAAATGGCAAAAATTATAATCTGATCTGTATGGAACTGTCTCGTAAAGACCCCCAATTACCTACAAAGAAATAAATATGCGACAACCCTTGTCGACCCCCTCGGACGATTTAGCTGATGTGGGCGTATGTTTCGTTACCTGGCAACCTATCTTTCTAGTTTAGTGGTAGAATTTTTTCTGATTCGTGGAAGTATCTTGGATAGATTGTAAACGGTGGATTTTCCTTTGTCAGCAGGTATTATAGTTATGGTCCGGTCTTTCTTAAAATCTTGTATGGCTCTTCGTTGTTCTTTATTGGTGTTATTCTGGGTTGATTTTTTTTTTGCCGCTTTTTTAGTTTGTAATTAACTTGGCCATAAGACCTATGTTGTTACAGTACAAAGTGAGTTGTTAATTGGTAAAGCTAGGTTCCGACAATCACGATTTGCGCTACGATTGAATTCGTGATTTCAATCGTGGAGTAATCGTGGTTATCCTATCTAATCAGGTCTTGTCATATATTGAGGTCAGTCGTAGCAATGTTTGATAAGATCTGATAGGATCATCACGATTATATAGTTTTAAAAGATAATCTACGGATATTTTAATTTTTTTTTAGATGATGATAAACAGACACAACTTTTAAATGCTGCAGCTCTGTGGCAAAGGCGCACATAAACAAACAAAAAATGTGCTTTTATATAATAAGTTAGTTTATAATAACCGACTTACTGTTTTGTCTTTGAAGTAATCAATTAAAAATAAATAATCTGTCCTTACATTGGTTACTTTACGCCGGCAGGGGAATAAAAATTGAAAAGGGGAGGGGGGGGGGGGGAGGGGATACAGTGTCGCGTACACAGGATTTGGTTACGTTTACATTTAACGGTGTTAACATAACACTTACTACTATATACTTTATATATATGTGTGTGTACATACCGCACTAATGATCAAATTAACAAGCTTATTTTAGAAATTTAACTAAATGTTGCCAAAATCTAAGCAACATTATGACTCGAAGTGATACATTTATAGGTTCCCTTGACGATAATAAATACGTCTCTCACGGCTATCTCCTACAACATAACAATTATACCCTGTAAAATACGAGATCGGTGGCTTTAAAAAAGGCAAGTAATACAATATTAAAAAAATTACCACTTACTATAGTGGTATTAACTTCTCCCTGTGTGAAGTCATCTTGAATTTATCGGAAGACAAGGATAATGTCGTTGACATAAACTTGTTAGCTAAAAAAGAGTTACTTTTCCGTTCTCTTTTATGTAATGTTTGTATCAAACTAGCCGTATTTTATTTTCTTTTACACGAACTTTGAATCTCCGATTGACATTTTAACAATTGTTTTTTTTTTACAAAATTTAATGTGATTTTGTTAGCCAGTTCTTGGGTGACAAATATTCAACATCGTGGTGGTTCTAATTTTTTTTCTACTGCTGCATTAAGAAAAGCAATAAACATGTTATCAACTAGAACAGATTAAGAGGCTTTTTCTTCCCTGCACGAGACATTTTTTTTTCTATCTTTGGTTCTGTTTCCGCTGTTTCTGGCTAGAATTGTGAAATCTAATAAGAAATAGGTTAGGATGGTACACGTTTGGCGGAAACAGGCACCAGTGAACAACTGCACACGTTTGCCCTGATAGGAAAGGCTTT